GAAATTCAGCTGCATCCTGAGCCCTGCACAGCTCCAGCCTCTTTGCTCAGGAGGAGCAAAGCCCCACCTGCATCCCAGCTCTCACCATCAGCTGCAGTCAGAGGCAGGGGCTCTCCCTGGAATGTCCCCAGGACATGGCTTTATTGGCATCACCCAAACAGAGCCCATCCCAACCACTCAGCTGATTTCTGACAAGGCTTTGATGCACTTGAAGGACTTACTAATTGTTGAGCAGGGAAAGGTTTTGTACCTGAATCTGAATGTTTTTGGAGCTCCTGTTGCCCACAGTTGGTTTTCTGTGCATTCAGCCCATTGCAGAGATCCCCAGTCTGTGCTGCAGCTCACACTGGTGCAGATCCTTTCGAGTGCTCAGGGTGCACACGGTCCTGGCAAAGGAGGGGATGAGAGTGACCACAGCTGGAAAAGGAAGGAGCAGCTCAGTGCTGACAAGAACAAATACAATCCAACACTTCCTTTCTGTATAACCATTGGCAAACACTTCTGATGAGCTTTAATGCCTCAGAGCGAAGCAAACAGACGGCGACAGGGTCAGGAAGAGTGAAGTGGGGATTTATTTTTTTCTGCTGGTCTCACAAATATCTTTGCAGATAGCAGTGATTATAAATAGTCCTTTGGCCATTTCCTGACTGTGGTTTGCCGACTCTTCCTTATTTATAGCAGTGATGAGGAGTGTTCAGCATTTTGCCCCAGCATGGGGTTCAACCTCAGCGTTTTGGGCACAGATTCCAAACTTCAGAGTGGGCACTGGATCAGAGGGGACCCCACATCCCTCAGGGATAACCTTTGGCCCAGATGACTGAATGCTGTGATGGATGAAGGGGATTGTGAGCTCTAGATTTACTTAGGAAGACTGCTACCAATAATTTCCTCCTCCAGGCTACTGAGCACACATCCCACAGAGAGGCTCCTCGCTGGAATCAGCACGAGTGCCTTATGCAGGATCCCCATCACCTCGCTGGGCTTTGCCTCCACTGTGTTGTATCTTTGTCCTCAGGTGAGCTTTCATAGAATCTCAGAACATCCTGAGCTGGAGGGGATCAAGGATCATCAATCCAGCCCCTGTCCCTGCCCAGCCCCCCCAGCAGCCCCACCCTGGGCACCCCTGGCAGCGCTGCCCAAAGGCTCCTGGAGCTCTGGCAGCCTCGGGGCCGTGCCCATTCCCTGGGCAGCCTGGGCAGTGCCAGCACCCTCTGGGGCAGAACCTTTTCCTAATACCCAACCTAAACCTCCCAGCTTTTCCAAAATGGAGTTACCTGTGGACTGTAATGCCCTTCCAGGGGCTAAGTGACATCTCCCCCTGACTCGTTTGCCCAGCAGCTGTCCCTGCTACCACCATCCCTGACCCCACAGCTCGAGCAGAAATCCAGGCTGCTGCAAGCAAAGTCCAGCACACTCCATCACCGTGGGATGGATGCTGTGCAGGCTCTGACACTCACACAGAGTAGCAACTGTTAGTGCTGCCTGCCTTACAAACAGCCTGTGGGGAATACAGGAGAATACAGCACAGTAAAAGATTCTCAAGCCTGCAGAACCAGCCCTTGCATGTATGTGTATTGTCACGATCTTTAATCATATTATCACTTAGGATTACTGCAGCCAGGACACCCTTACCAGCTCATGGGGGGTGGGTGTCCTACCAGGATGGCATTCCCAGTCTGAGATGACTACAGAGCTTCCTGGAAAGGTGAAGGCATTGCTGCTGCTTCATCCTAAGGGTAGGAAAGGAGGGAGAAGTCACTGAGTTATCTCCAGCAAGCCCAGTGCCATGCTGATGTCCCAGGAGGAATTCAACCTTTCCAGGCTGAGAATCCCACAGAGGTGTGAGCACCACTGTCCTCTCTGCCTGCAGACACCAGAAACTGGAGTAAGAAAAGTGACTGACCTTTCTTGGAAAGCGTGTTCTGAAATGTGGTCTGGAGAGCTCCTGGCTGCAATGGGCCCGTCAGTCGCTGTTACCCAGGAAAGGTCTGAGGGCAATTCAAAATAAGGATGTGGGTTTTCAGGCTTTGGTCACTGATCATGAGGAAGTTTTGAGAGACAAAGCCAAAATTTGGTACCAGTCAGTACAGAGGAGCCCATTGGATGCTATTGGAGTGGCAAGACTAAAACATCTGTCCCAAACAGGTCACCTCATCAGAAGGGACTTCAGCCTGAGTGATCTCACTCTGCCAGGAATAAAATATGCTTGGAATTTCCCAGACCTAATCCATAGAAATTTCCTAATCAAGAATTTCTTGACTTGCAGAATTTCTGCATTGGACCTCACCCCATCAGAGGAGAAGGGAAGTCCCTCAGGCAGGAGGGATCACCAGTTATGGTGTTTGTTGTGTCCAAACAGCACGAGATTGGCAGCAGGAACACAGGTGGATTCTGAGGGCTGGTTTCACAAAGCCAGGACCAACCAGAAGCCAAATCCCTCAGGAGGGAGGCTTTGAACTCTGAGATCTGACCAGAACTGGGAACTCTCCCCCGTGGACCCCCAACCCCTCCACCCAGAGCAATGTCTGTGTTTGCTGAGCAGTCAAAGCAGACTGCAAAGCCATTGCAAAAACACACATGGCAGAGAAGATCTGCTTGGGGTCTCTGTGAGTTTCATAGTTGGCACTCCTTTTCTGTATCTATTCTGTCTCCAAGACCAGGAGAAATGCGAGGTTTGGCCTGAGGAAGCTTGGACAGCTCAAACATTTTCCTTCCAGAGGGAAGAGGGTCCCCAAGGAAGGTGACGGTTTGATTTATCGTGGACATGGGAGGCAGGAGGCTTTTCCATGTTACAAATGGATCAACTGGAAAACAGGGTCAGGCTCAAAGTGAGAAGGTGATGAATGGTTGGCCAAGTCACCATGAGCTGTGATGGGTTCTCCAGTGCTGAAGATGCTCCAAATCACCCAGGGATGGCTTGAAATGTGCCCTCAGCCACCAGGGACACGGCAGGGCAGGCATCTTTTACCTCCAGGCTTTTGGAGGTCAGTGACAGGTTTCCAAAGACACAGTGATGTTCTCCCCATCCTGCAAACTCCATGTCAAAACGGCATTTTCCCCCAAATCCTCCTCAAACATTTGTTAAACACCAAATTTTGCTTTAGTCTGCTCCACGGGGGATTCCTTCTGGCCGTGCTTCATGCCAGCACTGGGGCTGAAACCTCGTGAGTGGTTTCTGCTCTTGACTTCCCACATCCCTTCTAAGCTCATTCGGAAAACATCTTCCCTTGCCCAACGTCTCCACCAATTCCCCTGCCCCTTTGTTTTTATTTAGGTCTGTAATTACATTATCTGACCGTACAGCGATTTGGAATGAAATCTGCATAAAAGATATTAAGAAAAATAAATCTGTGTTTTGCAATATCTTTGAAGTTATCTTTAGGCTGGGCAACAAGAGCAAAATCAGCATTTGGCTTTCTACAAATCCTTGGTTTTGTGGAGCTCTTGGGAAAGATGGTTTCATGGGTTGGGGCAGGAAAATTCACAAATTCAGATTATTTTATTAATACTATTAGTAACTATTTTTGGCACTGCTTCACAAGGAAGAAAACACCAGGTATGTATGAGATGTAATTATGTTTATAGTTAATGCTGCATGCTTTCCAGGGGAAGAAAAGCACTGATTTTTTTGCCTTTCTTTTTGGAGGAAATTAACAAAGTTTGCTGACGAAATTAAGAAAGTTTGCTGAGCAGCAATGAGTGTTGTGAGCACGTGGTGAGGAGAAGCTCTTTGTGGAGGGTGTCGGGATGAGTTTTGTGTGAGGGTAGAGAAAGGCTTTCCCCTGTTTTGTGTTGTGGCAAAAGAACTCTCAAACATGAGAGGACCAAGAGCTGGGAGCTTCAAGGGTAAAAGGGCAGGGGGTGATTTCAGCCCTGGGTGTGCTGTGGGGGAAAGAAAGAGTTGGGGGACAGGAGGCAGGGGTGATGATGCCCAAGCCATTCGGACAATCATGGAATCACACTTTCCTGAGATGGAAGAAACCAACAAGGATCATCGAGTGCAGCTCCTGTCCCTGCCCAGCCCCCCCAGCAGCCCCACCCTGGGCACCCCTGGCAGCGCTGCCCAAAGGCTCCTGGAGCTCTGGCAGCCTCGGGGCCGTGCCCATTCCCTGGGCAGCCTGGGCAGTGCCAGCACCCTCTGGGGGCAGAACCTTGCCCTGTTCTCCAACCTGACCCTCCCTGACCCAGCTCCAGCGGTTCCCTCTGTCCCCTCTTGGCTGGCCCTCTGTCCCCTCTCACCCCGCGTCCCCTCGGATGCCGCTTCGTCCCTGAACCCTTCCCCACGTGCTCAGTGAGGTGTACGAGGGGTGCGAGGCCTGAGGAAGCCGTGCGGGACGCGGGCTGTGCCCGCAGCTCCCACCGGCCGGGCTCTCGCCCCCTGCCCGGCCCGGGGGGCTCTCCCCACGTTGGGCCGGGTCCCCGGGGCCCGGGTCCGCAGCCCGCATCCCGCCGCACACCCACCCACCGCGGGACACCTCCCGGGGGGCGCCGCAGCGCGGAGCGGCCCCACGGCGGCGAGCGGCCCCGCGCCCGCCGGGCGGCGGCCGGGCCGGGCCGGGCCGGGCTGCGCGGTGCCCGGCGCGGGGGCGGAGGGCAGCGCGGGGCCGGCCGGGCGGGCGGCGGGGCTCCCGCGCCGGGCCAGACTCAGCCCCTTTCTCCCGGCGCCGCCGGCTGCGAGCGCGCTGCGGCTGGAGCTGCCCCCAGAGCGGCTCGTGATGGCGGCGGCGCGGGCTCGGCAGCGGGAGGCGCCCGCCCAGCCCTGCGCGCCGCGCCGCTAGCGGCAGCGCCCGTGCCCGCGGCGGCCGCCCCGGCCCATGCCCCGGGGGGAAGGGGGGCTGCAGCAGCCCGGCGAGCCGCCCACCCGCGCAGCGGGGGCATCGCCCCCACTCGCCGCTCCTGGGAGGGCGGAAAGGAGGCAGCGGCGGCGGCGGCGGCGGCTTTGTGCGCGGCGGGCGGATCGCAGGCCGCGGCGGCGCGGGGCTCGCCTGCTCCCGCCCCAGCCCCATGAACCAGCCGGACGGCTCCGCTCCGGCGGCGGCGGCGGCGGCAGCGCAGGTACGCGGCGGCCGGGCGGCGTGTCCCCGGGGGGAGGCGGAGGGAGCGGGGAGGAAGGGAACGGAAGGGAAGGGAAGGAGGGAGGGCGGCAGCCGCAGCCGCCCCGTCGCGGAGCCCCGGCGGCGCTTTGGCGCAGTGCGCGGGGGCAGCGCCGGCAGCGGCTCCTCGGACCCCGCGGTGCCGGAGCCCGCGGCCGCTCGGACCGGCGGAAAACAAAGCGGAGCTCAGCAGCCATGTCGGGGACGAGCCGCCCCTCGGCCCGGCCCGGCCCCGCACCCCGGCCCGGCCCGGCCCGGCCCCGCCGCGCTCCTAGCCCCGCGCCCCTTCCCGGCCCTTTTTCTTTTTCTTTTCCTTCTTTCTTTTTTTTTTTCTTTTTTTAAAATTTTTTTTCCTCCTTCTCTTAATTTTTCCTCCGGAACGTTTTGGTTTTTTTTCCCCCCCATTTTTTTTTTCCATTAAAACGACGCCACCTAGAGGAGACTATTTCGTAAATAAAAAAAAAAATTAAAATTGAAAAAAAAAAAAAAGGAAATATTCTGCTATTTCTAAATTTTTTTCCCAGAAAGCTGGGGCTGGATCCCCCATGTTGGGGTTCCTCCGGCAGCTTCCGCAGCGCCCCGCAAATTTCGTATTTGTTCTTTTGGTGCCAAAGCCCAGCTCATGGAAATGAAAATTAAACAGGAATTTGAATGAATTCAGGTTTTTCTCCCTCCACCCCCATTTTCTGGAGAAAAACGGAGCCTGGGAGCAGCAGAGTGCTGGGAAAGGAAAGTGAGTCAAGTTTTTGGTGGGCCCCCCCGGGTGAGCTGCAGGGAGGGATTAGTTTGGGAAAGTGGGAGAATTGCTGTTCCGGAGCAATTAGGAATTGGGCTTCATTGTAATTTTGAACTTGTGCAGCAAGCTCTGCCAAAACTCAGGGTTCATTTTTTTTTTTTCCTTTTTGCTGCAGTGCTTATAAAGTTATTTTGTTTGAAATGAGGAGTTTTGCAGGAAAATGAAGAACCCAGAAAATTTGCTGTGGACACACCCAAAATTTTTTTTTTTTTTTTTTGTGATTTTGGATTTCATGCAAAACTGCTGTTAAACAATGAGGTTCTAAACACAGTCCAAGAAAACACGAGGACAAGCAAAATTAAGAGTCGAATGTCAGTTTTATTTTAGAATTTCTTGGCTTTTTGGATGGTTTCTCCTGGCATAATTAAAACAGTTTCCAGCATTTAATTTCCTACTTCTTTTGTAGAGAAGAAAATTTCCATACTATGGTTTTTAGGTTTTTTTCCCTCTTTCTTTTTTTAAACACACTGTAATAACTCCATGTCCTATGGCTCACATAAATCTAATATTTACACAGGTTTATTATAAGGTCCGCCATGATATTATGAATATGCATAATTAACAATATTGTGAAAAAATAATTGCAGATTTTGTGATTTTCATTTTTTTTCAAATTGAAGTGCCTTTAAAGGGCTCAGCCATGATATTTTTCACAATTTCAAAATCCTTTTTCTCCTTGACTGTTAAAGCCTTGCTGGAGTTTGAATTGAAATTTTTTTTTTTTATTATTATTTTTGGTGGGGTTTTTCTTAATTGTTTTGTTTGTTTGTTTGTTTTAAATGCTGTCCTGTCCCTATTATTTTGCTGTTACAGAGTGCCTGTGAGTTCTGGACTGTGCACACACTGGTTTATTATTGTAGGGTTGCCCTTGAATACTGGGGTCTTGGTATTGATCTTTTTAAAAATAAATAACAAAAGAGCACTGAAACATGCATTGTTTCAAGAAAAAAGCAATCTAGGAGAGCTACATGGCCTTTCCACCCAAAAGTGGGGGAGGGAGAGGAAAGGAAAGATTAGGTCAACATTGAGTTTTACCAACCTTGACACAGTATCCTCTCTAAAATGGGGACAAAATAGCAAGATGGCTGGCTCCACAGCTGCAGCAGTTTGGATTTTTTTTTTTTTTTCTTTTTGAAAAAAAGCATTTTTAAATTTTAAACTCCAAAGTGAATTTCTGGAGCTGCCGGGCACCCACCAGCAAAGGCTGAAATCTGGGTGCTGCACAAAATAAAATTAAATTTCAAAACCAGAATGAATTTTTAATTTTGAATCTCAAAACCCTGAAAAGTTTTTTTGTTTTTTTTTTAATTTTGATTTTTTGTTTGGTTTTGATTTCTCTTCCGTGTAATTTGATATTTGATGGAAATCAGAAAGGAATGGCTGGTGAATTCAGGGCTCGGGGGCTGTTTTCAATTTCTCCCCTTTATTTGTTTCATGTTTTGAGTTTTTCAAAGGGGGGGAAATGGAAAAAATTTGCAAAGCAGAATAACTCTTGGGTGGAGGAAGAAATACTCCGAAATGTCAACTCCATATTTTTATTTTTGCATTTATTTGCCCCCAGCCCCCCCGAAGGGGACCCACCCTCTTCCTGAATCCCTTTTTTAGCAAATAATGGAAATGCAATGGAGCGGGAGGCCGGTGCCAGCCCGGCAGTGGAGCACTCAGAGCCGGGTGCCACATCTGGGTAAAAATTACACACAATGCTCCAAATTGGATTAAACAATCCCAGAGAATATTTTATTCATGGTTTCATCCAGGAAGCTGTAGCCTGGTGGCTTTTCCATATTCTTACCCTCCAAGATTTCCCTTCCTTGAGCTGCACCCCAGAACTTTTACTACAATATCATTGTACCCCAACAAACTATTTAGCTGTAGATTTTTTTTTTTTTTAAATTTTAAGATTTCATACATTTTTTTCTCGTGTGAACCAGACCTTTTGATGCTGCTTTTCCTTTGCCCTGCCATACTCCCGGAGATGTGGGGAGCATCCCTGTGGATTTGGGATTTGGGATTTAGGGGAGATGCACTGATGGGTGCTGCGTTTTAATTAAATTAACGAGCAAGCCTCATTTCTGGGGTCACAGTGCCCAGTGTGGCAGTGATGCCTTTTGAGTTTCTGGTGCAGCAGAGGGGTAGAGCAGGGCAGGCCTGGGCTGAGGAGTTCCCAGCTGTGCTGTGTGAGCTCTGCAGCGCTGGGGGCGAGCCCGTGTCCTCTGCTCCCTTCCCATCTTCAACTCCCTGGGGAGCTGCAGCTTTCCAGCACCAGCTCCTTCTCGTGGGTCTGGATCTCACCTTTCTGCCTCTCCTTCCAGCACAAACGTGCTCCTGCCTGGAAAAGATTTCATAATTTTTCATTGCAGTCTGCCTTCAGGGGGATTTTTTTTTTCCCTTTTTTTTGTTCTTCTGGAAAGTTGATCAATATTTTATCCTTTTCAAAATTGCTGTTGGCAGCCTGGAAGGGGAAGGGGAGGGAGGGAGCTCAGCTGAGTGATACCAACAGATTTCTTGTGACATAACTGAAATGTATTTTTTAAAAAAGAAAAATTTCCAGGACCTCATTTTCAGTGACATATTTTCATCCCAGAATGAAAACAGACATAATATTATTAAAGTAGTAGATAATATTTATACAAATGCCATATAAAACCTTGGGAGGTTATTGCATGACTCCAGGATAATTTAAATATATATCACTGCCATAATGCAACGCTGGGAATAGTTCAGTTCACGGGTGCAGTCACGTGGCACAGTCAAGTTTGCAATTATGCAAGTGCAGGAGTGAAATTAGAGTGGAATTAGTGTTCTAAAAATTAGATTAATTTAATTTTAATTTTATTTTGCAGCAGGGAGGGTTGAAACCTGCTCTAAGAGTCATGCTGATACAGAGTCAGGATTTGTGCCTACTGTGCCAGGGCAGCTCAGGCTGGAGCTCAGGGCAAGGCTCTGCCCCCAGAGGGTGCTGGCACTGCCCAGGCTGCCCAGGGAATGGGCACGGCCCCAAGGCTGCCAGAGCTCCAGGAGCCTTTGGGCAGCGCTGCCAGGGGTGCCCAGGGTGGGGCTGCTGGGGGGGCTGGGCAGGGACAGGGGCTGGGCTGGGGGATCCTGGTGGGTCCCTCCAGCTCAGGACATTCCGTGGGCCAATAATTCTTTGGATGCTGTGCCCGTTCAAGGATTTTGACCTTCCCACCATGGCACGGCAGGACTCGGTATGAGGTCCTGGATGCTGCTCCTGGATGTGGTGCCCATGGCACAGCCCTATGGCACAGCCCCCATGGACAGGCACTGCCCCCCTGGACAGCCCCCATGGCACAGCCCCCCATGGCACAGCCCCCATGGACAGGCACTGCCCCCATGGACAGGTCCCCCTGGCACAGCCCCATGGCACAGCCCCATGGACAGGTGCCCATGGCAAAGCCCCTCTGGCACAGCCCCCATGGACAGGCACGGCTCCATGGCACAGCTCCCATGGACAGGTGCCCATGGCACAGCCCCATGGCACAGCCCCCATGGCACAGCCCCTGTGCAAGTCCTGCAGGGCCCCGCTGGCTCTGGGTGTGTGGCACTGTTGGGTCCCTGGCACTGCCCATGGAGCCCCTGGTGGCCTCTACCTGAGCATCCTCAGCTTGGGCACGGCTCAGATTTGAGACTGGCACAGGGGAGTGTGCCAGCCTGCCCGGGGTGCTGTGGGGTGAGGGTGTGCACAAGGGTGGCACATCCCCAGGGTTTGCTGCATGCCCCATTCCCTGGGGGTGCTACCCTGGGCTCTGGGCTTGCTCCAGTCCATGCTTGGGTCCCTGCAGGTGGTTGTCTGCGTGCTGGGAGCTGTAAAACAGACAAGGGTGCTCCTGCAGGTGTGGGGAGCCACTCCAAAATGTGAGTTTTGTCAGAGGTGTGCCAGATCAGGCAATATTTATACATCATGTACCAAGGGGGGTGAGGGGAAGAGGTGCCTGGGCAGGGGCTGCCAGTGCTGCTGGAGGCTGTGTGTGCTCTTGGTAAGGGACGTGGGGAAATGGCCCCAGGAGATATTTATTTCTTGCAATTTCCACATTTCTGTGCATCCAGCATTGTGCATATTTGGAATTTCACATTTACGGATTCCATTTGGCCATACCGTGTTTTCTGGGGAAGAAGTTTCTAATTTTTAAAGGTCTTTTATGGATTAA